TTAGTCCTTTTCTTCTTTAAAAAAATTCCATCACAAAATAAAGTTCCTAGCTTTATCCTATTTAAATGGAATTTTATTTCGTTTTTTTTTCATTGGAATAAGTTAATTTGCATTGCAGAATCCAATTTAATATAGAAACATTAAAATGATGCAGAATTTCTGAAAAAAAGGTTAACCAATATCTCCTTTAAAGTTCCAGGATCGAACCACCGTTAACGGAAATATTGAAAAAATACATTTCTCACCTTTTCTACGACATTCTGTTACTATTCTGTCTCCTGCTGCTCTTAGGATAGCTTTAGAAACAGCACCTTAATAATATTTTAAGGTATTTACAATTACACTGTTTATAAGAAATGAAAAAAAGATTGTGAGAATATTTTGTCTTTGTATGTTGTTTGAAAGAAATTATTCTAGAAAAATATAGTCAAGTATTTACAGACAAATTAAAATATCAGAAACATTCAAACAATAGAAATTAAACTTAAAATGTCATAAATATGTTAAAAAAATACAATTTAGGCAACTGAGTTTCAACAGATTAATGAAATTTTGTATACATGAACTTGCATGAAAAAAATAACAAATAGTTTAAGTATTTAACGTTCAAGTCATTTAGAGCTTAGAATTGAAGGAATTCATTGTAGTATTTTAAAATGTGAATTGTATTCAATATGAATACTCATTTCCGAAAATGTTTTACGATGAACGTACATGAATACAGTGGCAGTAGTTTATATCATCAATGAAACATTTAAATTTGTCGCTATAAACATATGCGTGATTCGTGTTTCCTAAAATGATATTGCAAATTTTCATATACATGTAAAACAGACATGCAGATACGTTGCTTTTTCAAAGTGTGGGAGGGGGGAATTGTGAAAAAAAAAGCCAGCATCATGTGCTTCATGTGTACCATCTGTCTGTAAAAGCGCTCTTGGATATCCGCTGCACGTTCATTTGGGAAATTAAGCTGAAGGGTTTGGAGAATGTTATGAAGTACAATGTCCAAATTTGTAGGATATCGTATGTGGAAATTTTAGCGAGAGGCAAATCTAATGAGTTGTCCTTAAGAATTTGTAATTTATTTTTAGCGAGATGTAATTTTAGCGATTTTAAAAAGCTCTTTTAATTATTACATAATTATATTTAAAGAATGAGACGGGTTCTGTATCGTAGATACAAATTGGGGGGTGGACGAGTGCGTAGCACGAGTCTCCACGCCCAAATTTGTATCTACGATACAGAACCTGTCGAGCTCTCCAAATGATTTGTGACACGATCAATCAAAAATAGCTCCACCCACTTTATAACTGTGCATCATCCCAACTTCCGCCTGAGTTCTGTAGATGAGGTCCCGATGGGGAGTACACATCTGCAGTATATATATTTCCAAGGAAAACGTAAAAATCGGTCAGAATAGTTTTGACAATTTAACGGGGTAGACGTAATCGAGTGATAGTCAGTCTTAATGAATAAGGTGGAGGATTTAACCGTCATTGTTGTGATCTATTGTATTGTATTGATCATAATATATTTCAGGGGTCTTTAAAATCCCGGTTTGACTAGATTACATAAAAAATATTTAAAGGAAATTCCTTGATGGACTTTGATGTCACGGATTTTTATTTTCAAATTGAATTGCGACTTTAAAAACGTGTGACTGTCGTCAGCGAGAGGGATTTTAAAAAATAAAAACGCGGAAAAAATACTTAAATGATTTTGCACGAGATGAGTGAATTTTGTCCGTTATTCCGAATTTTCCATTTCGTTTGGATCGAAATTACGTGAAGAGGGTGTTTTCCGTTATTGCGAATTTTCCCATTTAGTTTGTATACAGGGCTAATACAGAACGGAAAAGTAGCTCCGCCCACCACAGTCCCGTTCTTTACTGCTAATACAGAACAGTAAACTTCAAAGAAAAACACCGCTATCGTGGCACAATAAGCTATTACAAATAAAGCACAATTAATTTTTAGTGATATTCAATTTAAGCGGTCTTGGCACCCTCGCCAAAATTCCATCCTTGCTAAAAATTCTGTTTATACGGTAACGACGATTGTTTTTTTTAAGTTATTGTGATATTGAACAAAATAAAAACACAAAGATTCAAGTCCAAATCCTAGCTAAAATTAAGATAAATTTGGCCTAAACGGAAATATAATCTAAAGGTTTTTTTGTTCTAACTTCCTATATGGTTCTTAACACATCAGCTCATCTGAACCCATAGAATACAGGTCTACGTGCGTGTCATTCTTTGACGTCAAGAAGTGAAAGACGATTAATCTTATTTTCAATCTTACATGTACACCTAATCAGAGACCATTGCCATCTGGGGATATCAGTGTAAATAAATTACAATTACTAAGAGAGCTTTAAATATTTCTTGGGATTGAGATTTAGCCAGATATTTGGTTGGTTTAGCTTCATTACTTGTGAACAAATAAACAAGGATATCAAGAATTAAATAAATAATATGAAAAGTATATGGGGGAAAGGGCGGACGAGGTGCTTATAGTAGGATGAAAAATTAAATCTCAATTATATCTACAATTTATTTGAATTTTCTTCTAATCTTAAAGATTACTTAATTTTAAAATCTCAACAATTTACAAAAATCTGACAAAGACTGAAGTAATTAGCCAATGAAAAAGCATACACACACTTAAAGAAAAAAAAGATAATTTTCTCATACTTTAACAAAATTTTTCTATATGAGTGGATCTTATCTCCTTTTGTTTGAAAAAAGATAATCCCAAACGTATGGAACAAAAAACATTTTTGGTTTTAAAAAGCATGGAGCAAACACCCACTTTACTTTAAAATTACACTTTTATAACGCATTTGCATCTTTTCGTCCATTAAGTCAAGGTCATATCAAAAACATGATTTAAATGCCCCAAATCATCATGAGACATGTAGTGGTTAGCGTCTGAAAGCAGTATGATAATCCGGATTTTTTTTATTGTTAGAGTTCAAATCTTACGAATGCATCTTATACTTAAATAAAAGAATAATTTTTTCCGAGATTTTATTTCTTTTGGAAAAAAAATTTGTTTATCATAAATTTCAATAATGAGAACTTAATTCGAATACTCTGTTCACAAGCTGAATATGATTTTTTAATATCTAAATTTAGATATTAGAGCTATTAAAGCTATAGGCTTTCTTTACTCCTTGTTCCCCCATCTTCTTACCAAGTAAAACTTTCAAATATATAAGAATAAATATCAGAAGAAAAATTGGAGTTATTCTAATATCACCGGCGGTATTTCCAATGATGACGTCTTCCTTATTAATCAAAAAAGATGTAACTGTCAAATCCTTGCACTTCTTGGTTATCAAAAACAGTTATTTTTTTTTATAAATTACAGAACCTTGTGCCTATCAAAGATAGAATTTAATATCTGAAATATTAATTTAAAAGGTACTATCACTCAAAGTAGTCAGACACTATAGAAAAGAATAACGAAGTGTTAACGGTGCTATTTTTCAGAGAACTCATTTAACTTGTGGTCTCCATGCATTGATGGTCATTGGAAAACAATACCGAAGATACCTTCGCCAAAAAACAAAAACCCAAACAAAACAAAACAAAACCAAAAAAAAAAAAAAAAAAAAAAAAAAAAAACAGCAAAGCTCTGTATAGAAAATGTTGCAGCTGCGCATTGTCCCTCATTATTCTATCGTCAGTTATAATCTAGCATTTTTGCGCTTAAGGATATCTACGGAAGCGTATTAGGGCCGCAGCAGTATTTTTTTTTATTTGTTATAACAAATTATTAATTTGTTATATCAAATTATTAATTTGTTATATCAAATTATTAATTTGTTATAACAAATTATTAATTTGTTATAACAAATTGATAATTTGTTATAACAAATTACTAATTTGTTTAAACAAATTATTAATTTGTTATAACAAATTAGTAATTTGTTATAACAAATTGGTAATTTGTTATGTTAAATTGATAATTTGTTTAAACAAATTGATAATTTGTTATAACAAATTACTAATTTGTTTAAACAAATTGATAATTTGTTATAACAAATTGATAATTTGTTATAACAAATTGATAATTTGTTATAACAAACTACTAATTAATTTGTTATAACAAATTAAAAAAAAATACTGCTGCGGCCCTAATACGCTTCCGTAGATATCCGATCCTCAGCCTGGAAGGATAACTCCAAAAATTTATATTTAATTCGATATTCATCAAAATAAAGCTTGAAAATGAATTTTTTTTCATGCAACAATTTTCATTTTAATCATCTTTATAAGATTTGGAGACGTCACCATTGCCGGTGAAGGGCTGCAAATTTAGGCCTATGCTCGGCACTCACGGCCTTTGAGCAGGGAGGGATCTTTATCGTGCCACACCTGCTGTGACACGGGGCCTCGCTATATACGGTCTCATCCGAAGGACCGCTCCATTTAGTCGCCTTTTACGACAAGCAAAGGGTACTGAGGACCTATTCTATCCTGGGTCCCCACGGGGCTGGAAATAGAAGACAAAGTAGAAGACAAAAAATACCAAATAAGTATAAAAATCATGACAATTTCTCTGAATGCCTGGATACCTATCGTTTTTTAATCTAAAATATATTTGTTGATTAATTTGCAATTAGAAAATACATTGCCGATATTCCAAATTGCTTTTTCTGCAAATATATTTGAGATTTGACAATTTTCCCTATTTTATATGATTGACTTCAATCTTTAACTTTAAAGAAATACTGTGGATAAATTTACATAACTTTGTGGATTCAGAGATACTTTTACGCGTATTTTTGATTACTTAACTGCTAATTTTATAAACCTGAGGATCGGACAACCTTAATATATTGGAATATATAAATATATAAACATTTTCAAGATAAGCATAATTTTTGTGTCTTGAAATGCTTTTAATCACACAAGTACATGTAATATATTTTTATGTTTTTAAACTCAGTGACCTAGCATCGTTTTAGATAATTCAGAGCTTGAATATAAATCACTTGCCTACATTGAAATTCAGACTTTCTGAAATACAGCTGACAATAGCATCAGTTTTCTCTTGGGTTATGTCCCCTTGTCTGACTTCAACACTTAATTCTCTGCACTTCCTGTTACCAATATCCAAATCTTATGATGCAAAGAAACAAATGAACCTTAGTTGTTTTCTAACCAAATGTTGTTTTCGCGAGATATAAAAAGTGCATGAAGCAAAAGAAAAAAATATTCAAATGATCTACATGAAGGTAATTTTCTCTCTCTCTCTTTTACTTCGAATGTGAAGGTATTGTGCATTTTTGTGATCTAATTTCCTTATTCCAAATTATCTTTTACTTTGTACAAAGTCGCCCGCGTGGCGCAGTGGTTAGAGCGTCTGCTCTAGAGTCACGGGGTAAGGACGTAATCCTAACATCGTGGGTTCGAATCCCACTGCAGGACGTGTAAGAGTCCGGTGCTTCGGACCAATGTCCCATGTCACAGTAGGTGCTGGCAGGAAGTTATCTCACTGTTCAATGGTCCTGAGTGCGAATATTCGAATAAGATTGTACCTCTCAACCGGCAAGTATTGGCAACACCATATGAGAGGGAAATACTCAAGAGGGAGTTAAATAACAGCATTCATACAAACTTTGGAGAAATGTATTAGAATTAGACCCAATCGTTCTAGAAAAGCATATACTAGTATATCTTCACACTTAAATAATCATGCAAAATTACTAATAAGTCAGAAATAATACAAATTAATAGACGGGTATAAATTAAATTTTATATGATTCTTAGTCCTATTGCCAGTTTTTAGAATTTCAAATTATTTTCTATTGATCCCTGTGTTTTAACAAACCTTTCTCCCCATAAATTTCTTCTATACGATTCCCAAAATTTCTCCTGAAACACTCAATAAAGGCCATTACGATCTTCTCCTCAATATCGCAAAAGTAGATCTTCTTGATATTGGAGAACTTGTCTTCCTTGGACTTGAAATAAATCTGAATAGAATTGATAATTGTGCAAACTGACCGATCCGTGGGATATCCCGAATTGCCAGCACCGAGTGCAGGAATAGCTATAGAGCTGTAATTATTCCTGTCTGTTAGTTCCAAACATTTTAAAATGACTTTTCTGAGTTTCACTTCCTCTCCATTATTTCCAAATCTCCTCAGCAGCCCAACAGCATGGACCAACATCTGACAGGGTAGATTACCAGGTTTTGCTGTTATTGCATCACCTTCTGGAACAGTTCCGTTGGATCTGATGTATGCTTTACTTTCCTTCTTTATCGAGTCACCTCCTAGAATAAAACAATAATCGATTATTAATAATCAATTGAATATACATGTAGGTTGCTTTACGTCCCATTCTAGAGACAAAACACCATATATTGACTTCAAAATGCCAAGGAAAAGCTACTACTTATTCCTTTGTTGTCTGTACAGCCGGGTTTGAACCCATAACCTTCATATCACAGAGCGTTGTTACAACGCACTTTGAAAAATTACGCACTTTGAAAATTTTTTTCAAAGTGCGTTAAATTGATTTTTTTTTTCAAAGTGCGTTAATATCAACCATATTAACGAACTTTGAAAAAAAATGTAAAGATTGATCAATATTCCTAAAAATAATCGGTATGATAAATAACAGATCCTGCTTGGATAAATTTTTTATGATAAAGTCACTTAAGGACCTGAGATATTGACGTTTTAAATATTTGAGGTTTTGATACAATAAAAGGGAAAAGGGTCTTGAAAAAGAAAAAAAGAGTGACCATTGTTTAAGATCATTAATTCTTTTCTTTTTTTTTAAATTCTAGTCTTTGATAAATAGATGTAAAGGGGGAACTAACAGTGGACAGCTTTAAGCAACTTAGCATTTATCATAATAAAAAGAGGGCAATTTGATTGTTCAAAACTATGAAAATTCTTTCTCTCTCATACGTTTTACTGTACTTAAAAATTTCTAGTTTTCATCTGTTTTAATTAAGTCATTTAATATTGAAAGTTTTCAACGTCATACCAGGTAAATGCATAATTATATAAATGTTTTGAGTATAGCATAGACATCGAGACCGGGCGAAGGGCCAGGGGAGAAAGGGGGGGGGGGTAAGCCCCCCACTTATTTTGGAAAGATACATACTGTACATCGTATAAGCATTGAAAATGCATTTTACCCCTTTTGGGTTTATTGCTCGCCTCCCCCGTTTTTTACCGATACCTATGTATTGGAAAGATACAGATTTGGACTGAGGCTAGGGTTCTTATACCCATCTTCTCCTCTTTTCGACGGGAATAAATCAGTTCTTTTTTAGGTTAGGGTTAGTTTGTTGAAAGATAAATAACAAATAAAATCTTTCCATTACTAAAATATGATTTTTTTTTCAAAGTGCGTTAAGTGTCTCCATGGTAAAATATATTGATGTTGACTCTTAACGCACTTTGAAATTTTTTTTCAAAGTGCGTTGAGTTGGTCCAAAATTTAACGCACTTTGAAAATTTTTTTCAAAGTGCGTTGATTTTGTCCCCAATTTTAACGCATTTTGAAATTTTTTTTCAAAGTGCGTAATTTTTTCAAAGTGCGTTGCCACAGAGCGTGCTCCCTATCGACTGAAAAGAATTTAACGACGTTCGATCCTGATATTTAAAGTCTTAATTTTTTTTGTAAAGTACAGTGTATATTTTTACTTTCTACACACATAGCTTAATTGAAAATCAAATTCAAAATATGTGGGACAATAGCTTCTTTTGGCGCTAGTACATTAAATATGACCTTTTTGCACTGAAATCTATGTCTTAATCAAAAATTACATCTTCAACGTTTTCCCTCTAATATTTTTATCCAAATAAAGCATGAATATAAACTATGAATCTATTTGAAAAAAGACACTTAAAAATTGTGACTAAGAAAAAGTTTCAAATTGCTATGCACATTCAATTTTGACCTTTTTGCACTCACAAAATGTGATTTTTCTGCCATTAAAAATTTAATAAGCAAGAAAATTATTTTAAAGTCTTAAACTTTTGCTGAATTTAAGCAGATAGGTCAAAGTTATCTTACATATTCAGAAAATAACATCAACAGTGGGGGTATATGATGTAATTTTTTAGATATTATGAAAAATTTGTCAATTTTCTGTTAAAATTGGGTCAATTTTTTCCTGAACTTTCAGAATATATTTACTATATTTGTCATAATTCGTCGAAAGAAATCATAAGAAATAATTTAACAGATATTTCGGAACATGCATAACACATTTGACTGCAAAAACAGCTTTGTGTTCAACCAGCATGGAAAAATAGGAAAGTAAAATTAACAGTATCTATAAAAGTTCAAAAGGGATATATTGATAAGTTTCTTTAAAAAAAACTTCCGCCACAAAATATAGTCCCTGGCTTAACCCTTCTTGAATGAAATTTAATTGCGGTTTTTGCAATGGATATAGTTTAATTTGCATTGTAGAATCTAAATTCAACGTTAAACCTTAAAAACGATGCAGAATTTTAGAAATAAAGATCCAGACCAAATTCCACTCAAAAGCACAGGATCGAACGTCCTTAACAATAGAGGCGGATTCTTTTAATTGAATTCTTGCAATTTCCGACATAAATCATTAATTGATAGAGTGAATTAACGAAAAATGTCCCGACACATATTTATCAACCTGCACAAAAATAGTTATATGAAAAAAAATCTGTATGTCAACATGTCTTTTGATAGTGTTTTATAACTTCATTGATATTTCAATTCCCGAAAACAATATGTCCAACATGATGCTTACACCATTTTGTTTATTTTTAATACTTTTTAAAATTCAGATATTTTTTAAAGATCTTTGAAGCAAATAGTAATGTTTTATGTTGGAAATAAAGACTTTCATGATAATATTCAAATTATCAAGTATCAACTATTTTTTGTTTGACTAAATAAGATGTGGTCATGGCTGATGTTGAAAAAAATGTTAAACCATGTCAAAAGAACAACAGAAGAAATGTAGTGTTAAAGACAACTTACTCAAAAAAGAATTTCCAAAGTTTAGAACAATAACTAATACACAATTTAAAACTTGAAAATATTCTATAAATCATATGTAGAATTAATAAAAGTATCTGTGAATGCTAAATAAATATCAGGATTTCAACATGTGATGTTTTGCTCCCTAGCATGATTTTTTTAAAAATCAGTATAATTATGATTCTCTTATTTTTATTTTGGAAAATAAGGGCACAAAGAACATATTTGCCAAGTAGATTTTATCATTAAGATGGCATGTCTCTCTGTGTTTCAGATCTATATTTCTATGGTCTGGAGTGTAACCTTTTTTGTAAAGATTCTTTATATGGTGTAAGACCTCTATTCATGCCAATAAATATTCTTGGCAGGAGATGCTCACTCCTCCGTGGCACCCGATCCCACCTTTGATGTTTTGGAAGTCCGTATTTGTTCTGATCCTATTTTGTATTGTTTTATGGACTTTTGATCTTGAATGCTGTCCGTTATCTTCATATGTCATATGTAATAATAATGATGTATTGAATAATCTAGTATACAATAGATGTATTATTGTCAGTTTTATTAATCAAATCCTTCTCTTTCCCACATTATTAATTCAGATTTGTGCTTATCTTTTATATGATTTTTCTATGAATGCAAAAAATAAACACACTATAAATTGTTATAAAATTCAAGTAAATCCACCTTAAATTCACTGAAACAAACAAAAAAATCTGATGTCATTATTTTTTGCTTTATAATTCTACTTTAAACACACCAAGTTGGTCAGGAGTCCTACAAATATGATAAGATTACTGCTGATCAAATAAATGTATTGTAAAATCACGCATTTTCTTGGGGTATAATTTTCAAGGTTTGGGGTGAAAATATTGATTTATGGCGCTTTGATTTCGCAGCTGTAAAATGTTTAATAGTAATGCATATGAAAGTTTACATTTCGTTGTTGTCATTAATTCATTCTTCTCTCCTGTACTCATAAACAACAAATATGAATGAAACAAGCTAATTCAGAGAATTCGTGTCCCCCGCTTAGGGAAAAAGTCGGCTCCCCCTGACTGAATTTGTAGAATTATTAAATGTATACATGTATACTGAAGCAAATAAAATACATGTATGTCAATATGCATATAAAGATTTAATTGCTTATTCTTTATTATGTGTATAGAAGATTTTTTTATATGGAATGTTTATCACACTGTAATGATGATTTTATAACCTCATAAATTTTTCATTTCACATGCTGAATACTATCATTTAGTAAAAAAAAAAGTATTTAAAAAAAAAAAAAAAAGAAAGGAACGACCGAGAGTCGATCCCGGCACCTTTCACCTTTGAAGCGAGAAACATAACCACTGGACCACGGAATCGCTTTACATGGTGTGAAGAATATGCAGAACTGAAGTCACATACATGTATATATTCATGTTTTCATGTTCGGTATTCTCAAAATTTTACACAATCCATGGTGTTTGATTTATTTAGCCTTTATTAAAAAGTTCTAATAGATGTAATAAGAACATAAAGTCCGCCGAGAACCTGTTTTATACGCAATAACTCTCCTCATGCCCCTGCGCTAAAAATAGCGACATGTAATACTATAAATACTAATAAAACAAACGGAGCAGGGCACTTTGAGAGGGTCGAGAGACGTCCTAGGGAGTTTTGGTATAAAATTACATTGCATAAGCTCAAAATCTTCTTGAAATATCGCCCGGAAATGATAGTATTACACACAGACAGAATGTATAAATTTACGACCTTGAACTTTGACCTTTTGACCTCAAAATCAATAGGGGTCTTCATTAGGCCACAGGGAGTTGTTATATAAAATTTCATTGCAATAGCTTAAATGGTTCTAGAGATATCGTGTGGAAACGAAAGTGTTTTAACAGACAGGATTTGCTTATTTATGACCTTGACCTTTGACCTTTTGATCTCAAAATCAATAGGGGTCTTCTTTAGTCCATAGGGAGTTGCTATGCTAAATTTCATTGCAAAAGCTCAAAGGGTTCTTGAGATATCGTGTGGAAACGAAAGCGTTACAGACAGACAGAAAGACGGACGGACGGACGGACAGACGGACGGACGGACGGACGGACAAACCCAAATCAATATCTCCCACTTTTCAAGCGGGGGACAAAAATGAGCAAGCTCACATAACCCACCCATCCCAAAACTTGAAGTGCTAAAATTGCCGAGAAAAATAAAGGAATTCCAATTTCCTGGTAATATGCATATCTACACATTGTGTTCTAAATATCTGCAAAGTTTGAAGAAATTCTGTGC